ATAGGCCCCAACAGACTCTAGAACCACCACTGCATGCGAGCTGGTCAGAAAACGAGTAAGCTGCACGGGCAGTGAACCTTTTTTTCTGTAATCACCTTTGTAATCAGCCAGGGCCGTTAATTAACATCCTTTCTTCATTTTGTTAACAGAGGACTGAATAATAAGTGCTGGGGTTGTGTTTCCTGCTACAGTTGGAAGAGAAGGACTTAAATCCCTTCTTAAAACATTTACAGACTTGCTTTTATGTGATGTCTTTTCTTCCTGGTTTTACTCTTTTTATCTTCTTTTACTTCTTACTGTCCTTTTATTTAAGCTCTTATCTTAACTCCTCTTGTGTTTCAATTTGGTTATTTCTTATCTTACTTACTTTGTCTATTTATGTTTTATATGTATATATACTTTTTATTATTATTAATATTTTACTCACTTGTTTCTATTTATTTTTCTGATGGTTCTTGTGTTGCCTGGGTTCTTGTGATGGTTCTTGTGATAGTTCTTGTGATGGTTCTTATGATGGTTCTTATGATGGTTCTTATAATGGTTCTTATGTTGGTTCTTGTGATGGTTCTTATAATGGTTCTTATGATGGTTCTTATAATGGTTCTTGTGATGGTTCTTATGATGGTTCTTGTGATGGTCGGGTTCTATATGTCTGTTGGGTATCGTGCACTTTGGGTTCTTTTCTGTTGAATTGTATTTCATTATTTTTAGTATTTAGTATTTGTTATGTTCTTGTTGTTGTTTATGTTCTTCTGTGTTTGGTTTAGTTTGTTCTTGTTTTTCAAAGCACTTTGTAAACCTGTGTTTTTAAAAGATGCTATATAAATAAAGTTATTATTATTATTATTGTTATTATAAAGATTCACTGGTATGATCTCTGTCACAGACGCTGGTGTGAGATGGATGCAGAAAGCAACGCCTTCAATAAACAAACTATTCATTTTGGCCCTCCAGCACCGACAGGCTGCAGCATTAGAACGGAGAAAATGAATGGACGGCTCAAATAAATGAAGCTCTGACCGCGTCTGCTGGGACACATGTAAAAAAAAAACATGAAGGGACGAGGAGCCAGATTAATATTTTGTGCAGAAGAGAAAGAAGAAGAAAAAAGAGCCAAAAGACTGATTGTTGTTTCAGAAGTCTCGGTCCTGCCTGTGTGACTCATTTGTTATCCAGATTACTTTGCCATCTTGTTCTCAGGCTGATAAACCAATTCCAGCATCAAGTGTCTTAATAAATGAGCAAAGGATCGGAGCCCCATTCAGTGCCAGCTGCGAACGAGCCAGTGTTCCACATTATGCCTGTTACTTTGTGTTCCTCGTTACATGTACATTACAAGTTACATGTGGCTTTTTCTCCAGACAGTCTCTCCCAGTTCCGCCTGCACCATCTGCCTTCTTGAAAAACTGAAGCTCTGTTAAGAGAACAGCATCCTCCTCTTCTTGGTGCAGTAACAACCTACATGGTTACATTCCAACAAAACTGTCCAGCACTGAACAGGCGGCCATCTTTTCAACAGAGAGAAATCTAATACATCAAAAAAACAAGGATTTGATTTTAGTGCAGCTACATGTTGGATTTTTATTCTTCATTCCTCTTATTGATGAACCACCAGGTCTCTCTCTCTCTCTCTCTCTCTCTCTCTCTTCCTCTCTTTCTCTCTCTCTCTCTCTGTCTCTCTCTCTCTCTCTCTCTCTCTCTTCCTCTCTTTCTCTCTCTCTCTCTCTCTCTGTCTCTCTCTCTCCCTCTCTTTCTCTCTCTCTCTCTCTCTCTCTCTTCCTCTCTCTCTCTCTCTCTCTCTCTCTCTCTCTCTCTCTTTCTCTCTCTCTCTCTCTCTCTTTCTCTCTCTCTCTCTCTCTCTTGTCTCTCTCACTCTTTCTCTCTTTCTCTCTTTCTCTCCTTGTCTCTCTCACTCTGTAGTTCTGTTTCTCTCTTTGGGTCTTTGTGTCTCTGTCTCTTCTCATTCAGATCTCCAGCCAACCGAGTCCCGCCCACTCACAGGACACTCGCTGGCATGGACGCTTCTAGAGCGCCACAGGAATGAGTCGTAAACCCTGGAAGTAAGTTAGCATGTTAGCGCCATGAGGTCTAACGTCTAAAAGTCAACGTGGATTTTGAATGTGTTTGTGGTTAGAAAAATAAGGTCTGTGGTTAACACAAGCTGAAGAGATGTTGGTGTTTTGTTAGACCACATAAACTACGTTAGGTAATACCTCCACTTGTGAAGTTTGAAGTTTTTACACGTCTTTAAAAAGGCGGTTGCTAACAAGCGGCTAAATGTGACTACAGTGGTTGTCGGGGACATTAAAGGTCATCACGCCGGACACAGAGGGCGGGAACTCTCTCACTAGTCAGAGATGTCTCCTGTAGGTTTAATCTTTAGGTTGAGGTGAATATTATGTTAGTAAACAATTTATTAAACTACGTGGATTAGTTTATCGGAGATCGTCTGAAGCGTAACGCTAGTGAAATTCACCTTACATATTCTAGTAATCAAGTGAAGAAGAGGAGCCAGGTGTGAGCAATCACCAAATGACTGCCTGAATGATATAAAAGCAGAGATCTGTGTTTCAGTGAGAAGCTGTGGTCCTGAAGTGCAGAATACTGGTGAGTTGAGCTGTGTGCAACAATTTTGATTGAAGTTGGAAAAGGCCTTATAGCTTTTTTTGTGAGGGGGGTAAATGTTCTTTATTATGTAATCAGTACTGAATTGTCTCTCTTTACTTAGCTCAAAGATGTCTGGACGTGAGAAGAAAGCTGCATCCAAACAAAAAACCTCAGTGTCCCAGTCTTCCAGGGCAGGGATCACTTTCCCTGTAGGACGCATTCACAGGCTGCTGAAAAAAGGACACTATGCAGACAGGATTGGCAAAGGTGCTGCAGTGTACCTGGGTGCTGTCCTGGAGTATCTCACTGCTGAAATCCTGGAACTGGCAGGAAACGCCTGCCGTGACAACAAGAAGCAGCGTATCAACCCCCGACACATCTTGCTGGCAGTGAAACATGATGACGAGTTCGACAAACTGCTGGCAGGGGTCACGATCTCAGAAGGTGGTGTCATCCCAAACATCCAAGCAACCCTTCTCCCCAAAAAGACCAAGGCACCCAAGGATCAGGTCACAGCTAAAGACGTCCAGTTTTAAAATTGAATGTGTTCACCAAATGTTATCATATTAAAATGTTTATTCTTTAAAGCGTGTATTATTTATTTAGCATGGCGCTTGTGTCCCTGGGGTTGGGAAACTTTACTTCAAGGGACCCACATGGCTCAATGGCAGGGTAGTGCTTCATTTCCTCTTCTTTAAAGGGCCATTGCTCTCTGAACGTAAAAAGGTTATCTGGTTATCTCTCCATCTCTCTCTCTCTCCTCTGTCTTATGAGCGAGCAGTGAGCCTCCAGTCAGGCAGACATGATTTAGAGGCCTTTTGTGCAGATTGCTAACATGCCTGCAGCTCAACTGGAAAAAAAAAAAAAAACACAACGCCCAGATTTCCTGCTGATGAAGCAGTGAAGGACGAAAACGTCCGCTGCGAGCTTCATCTGCCGGCTCTCCTCCTCGCAGCCACAGCAGGAGGGTCAATCAAACGATTCCCGACAGGACTTAGTAATGATTTCTCCTTCTTTAACTTCCACTCCTCTGCGTCTCCTCTGCTCTTCGATATCTACACCTCAGTATCTCTACCAGCAGCTGTAGTTCTGTTTCTCTCTTTGGGGTTTACATTGTGTCTCCTGTTTCTGTGTTTTATGTAACTCTCTCTTTCTCTCCTTGTCTCTCTCTCTCTCTCTCTTTCTCTCCTTGTCTCTCTCACTCTGTAGTTCTGTTTCTCTCTTTGGGTCTTTGTGTCTCCTGTTTCTGTGTTTTATGTAACTCTTTCCTTCTCTCTTTCTTCTTCTCAGTCTTTCCCCTCCTGCTCCATGTTCGTCCATCTCTCCTTCCCAAAGCTGTCTCTTCTCCTTCAGATCTCCAGCCCGCCTGAGTCCCGCCCACTCACAGGACACTCGCTGGCATGGACGCTTATAGCACTTTAATTTGTTTTCCCAGAATGCTTTGTATGCGTTTCAGTGTTTGGCACAGGAAAGGCAGGAACGCCGATGTGAGATAAGAGATGGCCTCGCAGCATCTCAGGCTGATGTCATTTATATTGGGAGCGCCCTGCAGAGCGTTTAGATGGTCTCGACGAGGCTGAAGGTGTCTGCTTCTCTATCACAGGGTCCTGTAGTTACACTGAGGAGGGGATATTACACGACTGTGATAGTGGGAGCTCCTGCTGCTGTGGGAGAGTCACCACCATCTGTCACTGGAGAGAGAAACCGACTCTGCAACAACATGTTCCCGTCCCAGAACATGTTGAACAAACTCTCAGAAACCGCAGCCAGCCGTCTGATGAGCCGCAGAGCTCGGCAGAAAACAACACAAAGACACTGTTATTAATACTGACAAGTTCCAGGACCAAAAGTGGTTTTCAATTATCTTTTTTTGTCACAGTAATAAACATTTGTGGGCAGCAATTACCACAAATCAATTAATGAAAATGACATTACAAAATCTGAATCAATTGGGGCCAAATGTAGACGGTGAATTCTGAGCTGCTGAAGACAAATGATCAATTACAGAATCATGTTTAAAGTTTACAGTTCAAGATATGTAAACACAACAGTGGTACCAAGAAACCGAGGTCCACACTTTGTTTAATACCAATGAAAAAAAGAGTCACACATACCATCCATGACCTCTTCACTGGGATCTCTGTGGGGTTCCTGACTTGGTCCATAAGGAACCTGCACATCTCCACACATTATTCTAGGACTAAACTTCACTTGTAATCAAGATGGTGGCTGTATAAAGAGATAGACATAGCCTGTGATATTCTGTCAGTCAAAATGTTGTTTTCTTGTGTTTTGTGTTCACTTCCTGTTTTATTTTGTTGTCTGCTGCTTGTGTACAATTTCTAGCCTGACTTCCTGTCTTTGTTCCAACACACCTGTGTCTCATCTGTAATCAGTCAGACCTGTATTTAAACCCCTGTGTTTGCACTGGTCCTCTACCAGATTGTCATCGTTACCTTAGTGTTTCATGCTTTCCAGCCTTATTTACCGTGTGTTTTCTTGCCTGGTTTTGACCTTTGATTGGATTTTTGGTTTTGTGGATTTGCCCTTGCTGGATTTTACTGCCCTCGCTGACTGTCTTCTTGGGTATGACCTACAAACGTTTAAGTAAACAACTTTTTCTTACAACCTGCTTTTTGTGTCCTTGACTTTCCTCGTCAACTGAGTCTGGTTTTGAACTGTTACAAGCCACCAACATGGCACCCTCTGAATCCTCCTTTTTTTGGTAACCATGAAGGGACCGTTGTGGACAGCAGGGTTGACCTGCAGTATTACATCTCCATCCACATCTCTTTGTGGTAGTGACTTGCCAATCACAAGTAGCCCCCGTCATGAGGCATTCATCTTCGTTTAATCTCCACATACACGTGAAGCATTTGATGTATAGATTCAGCGATGAATACAGACTCATACAAGAACGGAGACGCTGCAGCCTCCACTTCACAAAAAAAACGCAGCGGTTTGATGAGACTAAATTTAGAAAACGCTACCATTGCAATCCTCTTGACCGTTTTGTCGTCTGCCAACTGAATTATGTATGAAATTTACTCGTTTTCAAAGCTGAAGACAAAGATGTTTTGAAATACAGCTTCATGTGTTCAGGATGAATGTTTGCATCTCTACGGTAACAGATGAAGGTCATTGGAAGGAAAGTCATTAATACGTCTCGCTCTCATTATAGGTTTTTCTGTGTGGGTTCATATGCTTTTATTTTAACACAAAGATAATATGGGATAGTTTTACTTTATTCATAAGCAGGGAAACTTAAATATGTGGGATCTGACCCAAATGAAGAGCAAATTAAGTTCACTGAGATTTATTGAAAAAAGGCAAACATTTTGGCGAGCCAGCCAGGAGTCAAAACCAGGAAGTTGGTTCAAACAGGCTAAAAGGAGAAGTAGAGGAAAAAAACCTCATGGTATTAAAACATATTTAAAAGAAAGAAACCAGTGTTTGCAGCCAAACTCAGCTCAAACATCCAGTGAAGGGATTGAATCAGTGGAACCTTCAACAATAAGAAAGTCAAATTTTTGTATCAAAAATATTTATGAAAGAAAAATGTTGATATAAACATGTTCATATATCCATCTGCTTATCAAAAAACATTTTAATAATGCTTTTTAATTTAAGTAAAGAAGTTCTGCTGCTCAGCTCCCTACTTTCCGTCTTTCATTTTCCTCTCTCAAATTTCTTTTCTGTGTCGTTTCAGAGGAGTGGAGGTGTTGGAGCAGCGGGGTTAATCAGAAACATGCTGAAGTCAGGATTTTCCTGCCACCTTCCACCTCAGGTGCAGTTACATTAACAAGCTCTACTCTCCCCCCGTAAACACTGAAGTGTGTGTGAGTGTCATTGAGTGCGTGTGTGTGATATTTTCTGTTGCTGTGTATTTCTCACTGTGTATTTCTCACTGTGCTGTCAGTGTGTGTGTCTCTCTCAGTCTGCTGGTGTTTCATATTGTGTGTTTGTGTCCTCTTGGAGTTGTCATGTGTCCATGAATCTGTGTTTGTTTCTCTGTGAACATTTCTCTGCTCAGACCTCCTGCTGCTTCAGACGACAGGGAGAAACGCAAAGGACGATATAACAGATAAAATAAAAAGTGACTTCTGAACAGTTTTTGGGGTATACAGTCGGTACATAACAGATCATCTCGGGGAAATGGTGGACGAAGGAACAGATTGCAACGCTATAATGACTTTTTTCAGCCCTTTTGTCAATGCAATAAGAAGAACATACTGGTGAATTGAAACATGTCATAGTGGCATCGGTGGCCTATTGGCAGCCTGGGTTTGAATCCAACCTGTGGCTCCTTTGCAGCATCTTATTCCCCACCGTCTCTCACCCTGATTTCTGACTCTATCCTCGTTACTGTCTCTCTAATAAAGACATAAAAAAGGCCCAAAATAAATCTGTGAAAAAAGAAGAGAAAACATAATAAAACAGTTTAATTACATATACAGAGATTGTATTGGTTACATGTTGGTAGTGGATATAAATGTCATCACCCCTCCCACTCACTCGCGGTTTTTCCCTGAAAATTTACTGCAGCTCACCCTGACTTAACGTGGGAAATTTACAAGGGGCTGGCAGGAGATTTCCTGGTCAAATGGGATTCAAAGAAGGTGGCTGTTTGCTTTCACATGTGCATGTTATAATTCAAGTAATCGGAAAACGTATATATTATAATGACAGGATTCACATTGCTATTGCAAACACCTGCTTTTCTTCACACCCCGCATTTCAACCATCCAATCAGACTGGAGTACTTGCTTGACTGCAGGTGTACTTGCTGTGCAAAAATAAAGATACTGATCTTAGATAAAGAAACTTAACGAGTTACTTTTTCTTGCTGCATGGATACATCAGGCCTTTCTTTGTGTTTGTATTATCTTGAAATAGGACGTTAATCTGGACTTGTCATCTGCAGGGGCGGAGCCAGGGGAAGTCAGTGGTCCGGTTCAGCCACCCAGTGAAGAAAAAGTCTTACTGGCTATATGCTACTGGTCATGTGCTTTATGTGTAATTAGATATCGTTGACTTGTTTGACAGATACATTCAGAAATCATCAAAAAATATAAAGAAATGTTTTATTTCAGCACCAACGAGCCATCAGTTCTTAAAGCAGGGAAACATCAGAGTGCGTCATCTCCCTGAATCTGTGGAGGGTCGTTTCTACACATTCTCCTCGCTGTGTGTGCCTCCTCTCCTTTGTCTCGATATCATTAAATTATGAACATGTTATTAAGAGCGAGATCTCTCGCTGCAGCGCTGCATGGGCTCATTTACATAATCGACACAAACAGCATGTTTTCTCCGCGCTCACATGCTGCGACTCATGTGATCTATCACATCACTTATCTGCATGACGCAGGAAGCTGCTGCTGCTGCGGGCTAACCCCTCTCACTGTACGAGAACATGTGTGTGTGTGTGTGTGTAATTAATTCATCATGGTGTGTACAGTATGTGTGTGTGTGAGAGAGATCCTGATTAGAGATATGCTGTAATTACCTGAGCCAGAAGCCAAAGGTCACCGACTCTGTGAAGAGACTCCAAAGCGTGCGTGTGTGTGCGTGTGTGTGTGTATGTACGCCATTTTGGCAGTTAGATTAATAGAGCAGAACGGAGGTCACTGTGAGGTTATTTAACCAATCTGTTCTCTCCTCTTTAATGGTATTTACTAAAAGCTGCAGAAACACATTAGCTGCATGATCCCTCTCCGCTCCTCCGTTAATGTGAAATAACATTTGTACACATAATGATGTTCATGTGAAGAGGGACAGATGAATATCTGACTGTGTGGCACTCAAAGCATGAGCTCATTTGACCGCTTGTCTGCTCCTTACACAGACACAATTCATGTACCATAGCACCAGATGAATTCTGATTAAATTAATGCCATCATTAATGACTTCACAGGCCAAGGAAGATTAGAAAACTGTATTTGACTGCAGGAACCTCACTCAAAGGTCTGTGAGGAGTTTTTTTTAACTTGGTATAAAACAATCTCAATGTGATACTGAGGCTTCTTCATAACCTCTTAAAGTTAAATAAACCATCAGCAACTAACTGGACTTCTTTCTTCTGGATTTATTCATCGCCCGTCACTGCTGTTGCCTCTGGATCGGATTCCAATAAATACCAAAAGTTTCACAGTCAATAAATGTCAAGAAGTTAAGAGCAGTGAGTTCATATTATTAAAAGAGACCCAACAGGAGCTCACTAGGAGCAAGCACTCTGCAACAGTGGCAGAGGGAGGAAGAGGAGGAGGAAGAGAAGGAGGAAGAGAAGGAGGAGGGAGAGAAGGAGGAAGAGAAGGAGGAAGAGAAGGAGGAAGATGAGGAGGAGGAGGAGGAGGAGGAAGAGGAGAAGGAAGAGGAGAAGGAGAAGGAGGATGAGGAGGAGGAGGAGGGAGAGAAGGAGGAAGAGAAGGAGGAAGATGAGGAGAAGGAGGAAGAGGAGGAGGAAGAGAAGGAGGAAGATGAGGAGGAAGAGAAGGAGGACGGGGAGAAGGAGGAAGATAAGGAGGAAGAGGAGGAGGAAGAGAAGGAGGAAGATGAGGAGGAAGAGAAGGAGGAGGGAGAGAAGGAGGAAGATGAGGAGGAGGAGGAGGAAGAGGAGGAGGAGGAGGAGGGAGAGGGAGAGAAGGAGGAGGAGGAGGAGGAGGAGGAGAGGAGGAGGAAGAGAAGGAAGAAGAGGAGGAGGAGGAGGGAGAGAAGGAGGAGGAGGAGGAGGAGGAGGAGGATGAGGAGGAGGAGGAGGAGGAGGATGAGGAGGAGGAAGAGAAGGAGGAAGAGGAGGAGGAGGAGGGAGAGAAGGAGGAAGAGAAGGAGGAAGATGAGGAGGAAGAGAAGGAGGAGGGAGAGAAGGAGGAAGAGGAGGAGGGAGAGAAGGAGGAAGAGGTGGAGGGAGAGAAGGAGGAAGAGGAGGAGGAAGAGAAGGAGGAAGAGGAGGAGGAGCAGGAAGAGGAGAAGGAGGAGGAGGAGGAGGGAGAGAAGGAGGAAGAGAAGGAGGAAGAGGAGGAGGAGGAGGGAGAGAAGGAGGAAGAGAAGGAGGAAGATGAGGAGGAAGAGAAGGAGGAGGGAGAGAAGGAGGAAGAGGAGGAGGGAGAGAAGGAGGAAGAGGTGGAGGGAGAGAAGGAGGAAGAGGAGGAGGAAGAGAAGGAGGAAGAGGAGGAGGAAGAGAAGGAGGAAGAGGAGGAGGAGCAGGAAGAGGAGAAGGAGGAGGAGGAGGAGGGAGAGAAGGAGGAAGAGGAGGAGGAGAAGGAGGAGGAGGAGGGAGAGAAGGAGGAAGATGAGGAGGAAGAGAAGGAGGAGGGAGAGAAGGAGGAAGATGAGGAGGAGGAGGGAGAGAAGGAGGAAGAGGAGGAGGAAGAGAAGGAAGAAGAGGAGGAGGGAGAGAAGGAGGAGGAGGAGGAGGAAGAAGAGGGAGAGAAGGAGGATGAGGAGGAAGAGGAGGAGGATGAGGAGGAAGAGGAGGAGGAAGAGAAGGAGGAGGAAGAGAAGGAGGAGGAGGTGTAGTCATGCATTGTAGCATCTCAGACTCCACTATATAGAAACTGTTGAAATGGATTTATCTCAGCGTCTCTATATAGAGACAGACTGACTGACTGACTGCTTGGTCAGCAGGCCTGAAACAGTCGCAGACACACACACACACACACACACACACACACACACACACACACACACACACACACACACACACACACACACACACACACACACACACACACACACACACACACACACACACAACAAACTAAGTAATTGGCTTTGCGCGATACTCTGATAAATGCCTCCTGCTCTACTCTCCTCCATCCCCTCCTGTTCACCACCTCCTTTCCTTTGCTCCCCCTTCTACTCCATCCTTAAGCACACCTCTCTCCTCCTTTGCTCTCCTCTCCTCTCTTCTCATCCTCTCCTCCTCTCCTCTCCTCTCCTCTCCTCTCCCTCCTCTCTCCTCTCTCTCCTCTCCTTTCCTCTCCCCTCCTCTCCTCTCCTCTCCTCTCCTCTCCTCTCCTCTCCTCTCCTCCTCCTCTCTTCAGTTGTTAGGTTAACTGTGGGTATATGTCACATTGTGGAGCCCTCATGTTCACATCCAGACATTATAACACCTGACACATTAAAATAAAGACGGTGATGTTTAATATTAGAGGATGGACAGATTACTGCTCCGGGCGGCTGCCTGCGGAGACTCTTTACAGCCGTTCATCAATTTTCAATCTCCTCTTTGTTGTTTCTCTTCTGCCCTCCTCTTTTCTCTTCTGAGGATTCAACAAATACTGAGGACTCACTTTAGATGAACATCTGACTTTGAAGAGGGAATAAAAGTGTAATCAGACTCTGCAGGTAGAGCTCAGGAATAGTTCTTAATAAAGCTGTAGAGGGAATTGGCTATAAAATCTGAACACACTTGTATAATTCTTGTGTCTGTTCTTTTTGAGATTGTGAGGCAGGGGATTGGGATTATATCAAGCAACCCAAGTGTGCAGGGACAAGTCCAGCAGCGGGGACCCCCTTGATGAGGCGTGGCTTAATTCAAAATAAATGGCCTGATCTGTGTTGCAAAAAGGCTGCTAGTAGCTTTCTTTACATTTTTATGAAGCATCTTTACTTTAATTTCTTTTAGATTTAGTTTTGGGTATTTTGTGCCTTTATTGGAGAGAGAGGACAGTGGATAGAGTCGGAAATCAGGGAGGAAGAAAGGAGGGAATGACATGCGGGAAAGGAGCCACAGGTCGGATTTGAAAATCGATTTCATAAGACATGTTCTTAGGAGAGGAATCCATAAAAGATGCATGCACACTGTCTAACACACAATGAATTTATGAGATATTTTCAGATTGAACCATGCCAATAAATCAGTTTTTTTTTGCAAGTTTTCACAGTGCAGGTGTCTGTGCGTACATTAAATTATGACTTTAGACAAACATCTTATTTTTGAGTGCTTAAAGGCTTTATATGTGATTTTTTTGATCCAGCAGATGTCGCCCTTGAGCACCAGCATGAAACCAAAACAACTCGCGCTGCATTGTTGTGTTAGCATGCTAATGCTAGTGATCTTTATTATGCTGGTATCTTCACACTGCATGTAAATTTACCTGAAATGAGCGTGATCTAGAAACACAGTTAAGCAGTGAGTACAGTATGTTATTCTTCTTTTCTCTAGTCCCTCAATTAAACAACTTTTATACGAGGGGAGGAGTCAGCCGGCCGTCCTGGCGATGTAAACAAAGTGAAGATAGGACTCTGAAAACTCTGAAAACATCACAGACAGTGGGACTCGGGTGTTACACCCATTGTAGACAGTCATGACTCACAGAGTTATTTTCAGAGGAGATACTTGGTTTATATTATATTTAAGTGTGAAAAATCAAGATAAAGACTTTAATGAATTAAGCTCTGAAGATTTTATGCCATATGTATATTCATTTAGTAACATTATAACCAGTTCTAAACATGTGCCAAATGTTTGATTGTCATTGTTTGACATGTGCTGATGTGTATTTGTTATTTTCTCTCATTACGTTGTCGCTCACGTCTGTTTTTGATTTCTCATGTCTTGTAAGAACACATGCAGGACGACACTACCTCTCCTGTTCCCTCACTAACCCCTCCTCTCCTTTCCTCTATCCTATCACTTCCTCTTTTAAATTATTTTTTTCCCCATCACGTTCTCTTTATGACACAACGTAACCTCCCTTTCTTGTTCTCCCCTTAATTGCATCTCTCTGGTCTCTCATGACCTTTCATACCGACCACACACCGCTCTTTATTTCTCCTTTTATTTCACACTTTGCTTCTCTTTCTCGACTCTCTCACTTGCTTGATCATGTTCTCCTTTCATTTCCTCTTCTGTCTCTTTCTTGCCTCCTGCCCACCATTGCTTCTCTTCATTGTCTCATTCTTTTCATTCTTTCTTCTCCATTGACTTTTTCATCAAATTCCTCTCCTCTCTTTCCCCATCCCTTTTCTTTTTTCTGTGCATTTTTTTTGTGTTGTCTCAAATTCTTCATCTCACCTTCTCTTGCTTTACTCGCCTTGTTTTGTCTCCTCTCCTTTGCATTTTATTTTTCTGTCTGAAACAATTTCTCCCCC